TGAATCAACGAAGCTATCTCTCGAGCCGGAGTTCTTGAGTCTTTTTTATCTTTTTATTTTTTGCTTCACTATTTCCCTCCCTTCACACCTTAAGTACTTTCTTGGAAATCTCGAGGAAATTCGGTGACATGCTTAGTTCGCTGCTTTGTGAGAGAGGGTAATTTGATATGATCAACTGAGCTGATATCGTAAATTGGCCACCGTAAAAAGTTTCAAAGCTGAAGTTTCGAGCGTTAGCCCTTCGGCTGAACGAAGCTTTGTACTAGAGATGGAGGAAAAGTTTAACTGAGGTGACTGATAGGCTATGAAAATTTTATGGCCCTGTGCATCTTTCTGTTATGAGAAATAAAAGTTTAAAGTTAGGACAAACTTATCCAATATTCTTAAAAATTGCAATAATTTACGTAATGAATTTTCATTAGGAGGGTTATCTCATGGATAAAGTTTGGAACTACTGAAGTGTACAGCTGTTTATTTTCCTTGTGATATTCATAGCCTCAGTCTTTTGGACTGTTACCATTCTTGGATATGTTCAGGATTTAGAACTGGTTTTGCCCTGGCCTTTCCACTGCTTTGTTGTGGTTATTTATCGTGTGGAGAAATTTGAATTTATTGGTGTTGTGATATTTATTTTATGGTTTCCTGAGTAAATGTTTATACTTGTGTTCTAAGAATTCTTTAACTAAGAGGAGTGACATGACACAGTTGTCGAGCTATGTAGAAGGAAGGGACTATCAACATCTGACCGCATCTTAGAAATGCTAAACCGAGTGATGGTTACAGTACTAAACACGTTAGACAGTCCCACGGATGCTGTAGTAGCAAGTAAAGTGTGTATTTAAGAGCTAAACGCGGTCTGCAGTGGCATGAAAGACCAGGACAAAACCAGTTCTAAATCCTGAACCTATCCAAGAATGATAACGGTCCATGCAGAAGCTATGAATATCACAAATTTTGTCTACCAGCATATAGATGTTGCCGTTCATTTCTGTGGCTTAATTAAGCGTCACCCTGTCACCTTATCAATCGATAGATATTTACCATTGTCAAAAAGAAGAGCTGGAATCAATGCCCTTAAGGGGTTCGTTTGATCAGTAAAGAAAAACAAAGAAATCATTTCTGGTGTCTGTCCCGTCGATCGTGTCGCCTAAAGTGTCACACAATCTATATACAGTGGGGGTTTACTGCTCCGGAATGGCTTACAGTTGATACAGAAGAGGAGAAAGTTGACATGCTGCATGACGTAAGGATAGTTAAGGCGCTGCGTAAACAGGATATGGAGCATCGTATTGTATTATGGGTACTTGATCAGGATGGTGTAGAGGAGTACTGGATATAAATGATCCGTGTTATATCGTTACCAGCTCACGCGGGCGAAATATTGTAGTAGACTGTGACTTGACAATCAAGGTGTTTGACAACAGAGGCAAGTTTAAGAAATGTTTCAGAATTCCAGCTCTTCTTGCTGACAATGAAAATATAAGAAATAGTCTTTAAAATCGCGGTTGTTTGGAGTACATTCTGTACATGTGTTAATCTGATATACGCTCTGATGGTATCAGACGCTGATATAATAGGGTTTATAGCTAAACTGGATGGCAACTCTAAAGTTTCATCTCGTCAACCGTGATTGTTAAGAAGTTCGAAAGGGGAAAGTTTCTAGCCTAATTACTGCAGGAATATTGGCTTTCAGGGGGTTCAGCTTTTCACATGAAGAGACAATTATTACTCAGTGAGCCTTACTGTTTTAGAAGGAAGTCAGTGATTGTTAAATTCATGCC